CTAGTATTAGACATCTGAGAATCTGGATTTTTATTCCTAGTTCTTTCTGTCATATGCACTTAATTAACTATATAAGCCTTTTCTCATATGGATCATCATTTTAGTTAGCAACAAATATTCTTAGTGAAGTATTTAGTCTTGGGTTTTTTGCTTGTAAAATGTCTCTGTATTCCTGAGACAGTGTACTGTATATAAAGTATTTTTGTTATCCTAACTAGTAATTTCCATTTAATTATTAAAGCTTCTACATGTGGCTCTTTTTATTGTGTACACTCATAAATTATTACTTGGGTTGTAAATATTCACAAGGACCGTGGCTACAACTTTGAAAAAATAGTCTGGAGAAAAGAAAAATACAGCTTACGTTTTCAATATTTTTCAATATTTTATCTTTTGAAAATTCCACAAATGACATGAAGAGTTTAACTTGTTTTAGAATCATATAACATTCTTTTATGCAAAATAATGATGGAATGATGGAGTTTTTTTTTGGTATGTTCTTTGATTTTGCTTTCCGTATGGAAAAGGTTAACATTAGAAGGGTTTAGTAAAGGATTTTATCATGTTATCTGTCTATGTACTATCCCATAGTCAGCATGTCATATTTTATAACTTACAGAGATGTTCTGATTAACTGTTGAATACAGCTATTCCATGGTTACTTTTAGTGTCTTTACGGTGTGTGATATATTAGTGTTTACTAATATTATAAGTTTTCAAAGGTACCTTGGAAGACTGTCTAAATGAAAATCTATCACTCAAAATGATTATGTGCTAAAATTTAACCAGCTCTGTTAAATTTTAACGGAAACCTGAAGAAGGATAAATGAAGAAAGTTTATAGTTAATGGGTTAAATTTTTGTTGTTACAATAGTAAACTTAGTCTTATAATATTTCAGAATGAAAAATCATTATATATTTGTTACCATATCTGATGATTAGTTTGTTAAAAGCAAAAGTGGTCATATGATATACTAAATGAAAACTGCTCTTTTTTTTTTTTTTGCAGTTTAGGCCAGGGCTGGGTTTGAACCTGCCACCTCTGGCATATGGGGCCTACACCCTACTCCTTTGAGCCACAGGCACCACCCAAAACTGCTCTTTTTAAACTCATGCTAAACAAATCATGTCTGTGCCATCCGGGGTTTATTGCTAATTTTTTACTGAGTATTTGGATTGAGATAAAGGGCTTGTACTATGCACTCTTTATTAATGAATAAATAGAAAACGTCAGTAACAACAACAAAAATGAAAACAGAAAAACTATACATTTTTAGTTCAAGAGTCATTAGCTGATGCGTGATGGAATCATTTGTCTTTTTAGGCTTTTCCAAGGTTGTGGCAAAGTAACGCTATTATCTACCAGTGGAAGAACATGGCTTTCATTGTTCTGCAAACAAGGGTGAAAGTCACTATATAAACCAAACACTTTAGTACTCATATGCTAATACAGTAAATGAGACACCCTATTTCTACATGATTTGTACATAAACAAGAGAGCCCATCCTTTTAAACCTGACTTTAAAATGATCTCCTGCCTCCATGCAGTTCCCAAAAGGATCAGTCCAAGCAAATGCAGAGGACAGGATTCTAGCCTGGACTCAGCCTGCTCACTGTGACAGTGTGTGCACAGTCAAGTGGGAGCTCTGATTTCAGACATTATAGATGAGCCTGAGAATTTCATACCTAAGAAAGGGTTGATTGTGTGTTGATTGTGATGGAGAAGGAGAGACTGATTTTAGGGGGAAAGATGATGTGTTCAGTTTTGGTAGTGTTGAGTTTGAAGTCTGAGAGGTCTTGGAGTCTGGGAGAGGTCCAAGTAGAGAAGGCTGGGACCTTCAGGACCTTGAGACCTTCAGGACCTTGGACAGAGGCCTCCCACTCCTTGGGGTGACTGAGTTTAGAAGTTGAGAAGACTGGGCTGAGTATAAGTGTCTTACCACAACAAATAAGTAAGTGAGGAGATGGTTATATTAATCGGTTAGATGTAAGCATTCCACATCGTCTATCAAATCAACACATTTTACCCTATAAATGCATTAATATACACAGTTATGATTTAATAAAGGAAAAAAAAAAGAAAAATAAAGACTGGGTTGGGCTGGCTGTAGATAGCTGTTTAGGAATCATTAGGTTGTGGGGGTAACTGATAGGTGTGCATGGAATGCCTGGGTGCCTTTTGTAATCTGTGTGAGCTACAGGGTCCACTTTGATGCCTGGGAACAGTGTACTCTGAAAACTCACTGCTGCTGTGAACCACACTTTGTGCCAAAGCTGCTTTTTTCCCATGATGATCTCAGACCCCGCAATTCCTCCATCTCTCTCCTCTCTTCCTTTTACACTGTCCCTCCTCTCTTCCTTTTTTTCTCTCATCTTTTAACTCTTTGTCTACATAGTTCTCGTCGTGCCCCATCATTCACATGTCTCCATTCATTACCTCTTTCACATATCTCATTCCTCTCAGGTTTCTGCTTATATCTCTGCATCTACTTTAATTATTGAGGTGATCCTCTTTCTGCCATCACTTCCCTTTTTGTTCTCTCTTCTACCTCTGTTTCTTTGTCAGTATTATCTGGATTGTTTGTCTGTTTTTTGGTCTGGTTTTATAATTTCAATCTTTGTTTTCACATGTACTTTATTTTGTTATCTACTCTCTTATTTTCTTTTCTGTTCTTTCCTTACTTTTCCTCTTTTTCTTTTTCGAGATAGCTTTTGTTGTCCAGGCTGGAGTGCAGTGGCATGATTATATCTCACTCCAGACTCAAACTCCTGGGTTCAAGCAATCCTCATGCCTCAGCCTCCCAAGTAGCTGGGACTACAGGTTTGTACACAATGTCTGTGTAATTAAAATAAATTTTTTTTTGGTAGAAATAGGATTTCATCATGTCTCCCAGGGTGACATCCATACTCAACTTCACTCACAGATTACTTTCATCATCACCAAATGCCTACTCTTTTGACACTGACCACACACCCAGCTCTGTTACCTGTGCCAGTTCTACATTGCAAGCCTGTGATCGGTCATTACTTTATTTTCATGTTTCTGGCTCAAATTCTGATTGGTATCTTGAAAATCATTGTTTTTTCTCCACAAAATTCCTTGACTACTGGCATGTTTAGATCCTATTTCATGTACAAGTACTTGAAGCTTACTCTTCCTTTGGTGATATCAGCCTGATTTTTTCCATTCTTCCTCCTTATATTATCCACTCAGTGTCTCCTCCATTCATTCAGAAGCCCAATTCTTCTTTCTGTTTGGCTTGGCTCAAACCTACTGAAAGCAGTCAGCATCTGTGTGTGTGGGATCTGTGTGTTGTGTCTGTAAATATTTCCAGTAAAAGGTAAGGAAGAGAAAGAATTTTTGCTCCATGCACATGGGAAAACAGAGATAATTAATAGCATACTTGTCTTCTCCACCACAGGCAAACAGGCTGCATCTCTTCTGACTCTTTCTGGATTCATTTGAAGGGCTTGGGATTCACAAGATATTGAAGACAATCAGGAAGTGACAAACTATTTACAGTGACCAGGGAACCAGAGAGAACACACCTCAGTGTGGTCATGCTGAAATGATTTTAGGGCTCAGATGAGCTGAGAAAAAATACACCTTCCCCAGTGACTACGCCTCAGATCCGACAGAGATGTGCTTGCCTTTCCTGTCTGGTCACTCCTCATTCTCCTCCTTCTTTCTCATTTTCTGCTCATTGTTCTGCCTTTAGGCATGTCTATCTATATCTCTGTGATTTTATGAGCTTCTCTCTCCTTGAATTTTCTTATCTCTGTGTTGCTTTTTCTTTTTTCATCATAATGCTCCTAATCTCTGTTCCCCTTTATTTCTATGTTTATCCCCTTTGGCTCCATCTTTGTAGGTATTTTATAAACCACGTAGCTGGCTTCACTCCTATTCTGCCTTTTTGAGATTTTCATATTTTCCTCTCCATCAATATTAACAAATATGGTTGAGATATCTTCATTAATATTTCAGCCAATACACACACACATACCTGTATATGTAGGTATATGCTGTTGTTAAACAAGCTTTCTTGTGTCAGGTACTGATATTGTCTCCTGTGAATATTCTGGGTTCCACATGTCACTTCTTTGGACTTTGATTCCCATGTCACAGCTGTAACCATCCTGTCTGTTAGGTACAATAGTTACCCACCAAAAGACGCTGGGTTGCTAGTCCTTCTTGTTACCTTTTGTTTTCTAACCCTCCTACATTTGCATATCAGTTTTCTCACCTCCAAACAGGGACCACAAGACTTAGCCTACATAAGCTTAAGGATTTTGCGATGACAAAATGAGATCTTATTTGCCAAAGTGCATTGAAATAACATGTTTCTGGCAAAAGCATAACAAATTCAAATATATATATATATTTGGCCGGGGCTGGGTTTGAATGTGTCACCTCCAGCATATGGGGCTGGCACCCTACCCTTTTGAGCCACAGGTGCTGCCCACAAATTCAAATATTTTAACCTGATTTTTTGTACCCCCGTGTTAACCTATTAAAAAAAAAAAAGACTATACTGAAGTTCGAGTGCGGTTGATCTGAAGTTTTTATTTCTATTTGTAAGCACATAGCAGGAGCAGTTTTCTTTCGAGGCTTGTACAATTAGAAAAGATGTTAATGTCAACCAATACGTTGCTATGAAAATGTAAGATCTTACTGTTAGTAGGCATGACAGTACGGATTAAAATAGACCATTGTTTTGCTATTTATTTCATCTGCAACTGCAACATATAATTACATATATTTAGTCCCTGAGATGCATCCTGTTAAACACGAGTTCATAATAATTTCCTGCCTTGTTTCATTTTCTAAAATGCTGAAAAGGAATTCCCAGGATTAACTGGATACAAGATAGTCAAGGTACTCAGAATAAAATGCATCTGGAATCAGTAGATTTCAATTTAAATTCCTAACATCTTACAGGCCAAGGCTTGGCATCCAAGTCCTCTCCTGTAGTCCAGGGGTTGCAACTCTAATATCATACCTGGTGCAGTCTGGGATCGTGAGCAAGTGGCTTCTTGGATGTCCTCTCCCTCGTTTGATTCTGAAGAGTCATAGTTACTGGTCACTGCACAACAGAAGAGGATTCTTAGAGGTCTCAGGTTGTGATCAAGGAAATCCCCTAATAAGAAATCTTGGAAAACCCTTTAAAATCCATAAAGTCCTGGGCTACACCCAGGCCAACCTGGTTTCTCTTCTAAGTTACCTACTTTGTAGGTTAGTGATGCTCCATTCTTGTCCTGACAAACAATTCCCTGCCAAGGGTCAACTTTGCTCTCCTGCACTGCTCTCTGTTACTTCCTACTGCTTCTCCTTGACATTCCACATATCCCTTATCTCAGCTCTTTTCCATGGAGTGAGACCTTGAAGATCTTGTGTGGAAGGTGATGAGCCTCCTCTACCCCCATCTCCCTGGTGCCTCCTTGAACTGTTTACAAGGCTGAGAAATCATCCTTTTTTGTGTTTCAGCAGTAGACACATTTGAAGACTACTTTTTAGAGCAGTGTCCTTACACTAAGATAAAATTTAGAGCATGCAACTGTCTACAAAATGAAGCAAGTTTACATTTTACTTTGAAAGATACAGTGAGCAATATATAATGAATGTATTGTTCTTAATAACATCAAGATGAGACAATATTTTTATTTGTTGTAAAGTCTTTTCCTAGTGTGTTTTACCTAAAGTGGCATGTTTCTAATTATTCTCTGGATCTAGAAAGTCAAAAGGGAAAAAAAAATCACCAATTTGTACCCTAATTTCAACTCATGCTGCAAATGGGATTGTGATAATACAACATTTTAATAATTGTTTCTATCTCTCATTTTACAAAGGAAAAAACTCAGAGTCCAGAATGTAAGTTTAGTTTTGTCTTTTTTAAAATTTCACATGAGTCTTTATAGATGGTCTTAAACATTTATGTGATTTTTTTTTTTTTTTTTATCTAGGCAAGAAGGGCCACAATATCTATCCCACTTACCCTTTAAGGTCATTGTAAAGAAAAAGATACTATTTACAAAGGTACTTTGAAAAATCATTCTATATGCCATGACTTGCTGAAGAACTCTGTCAAAAAGAATACTTCAGGTTTCAGAATACTTTATCTCAAGTCTTTATTTCTGATAACACTGGATAGTTGGATGAATTGTCTTTTGACACTATTCACAGCTTGTGCTCTGATGACAGCATGATCTTCCAATAAAGGAATATTAGCTTTCTGTTCTCTAGAGAAATCATTGCATAAATCTAACATTTCATAGGCATGGTAACTAGTACATTTTAAAAATGAACTCATCACTTTGTTAGCCAATTTCCACTATACAGTATAATCAATGTATGGTATATATATTGATTAATAAAATCTGTCAATTAATAAGCCTATACCCAAAATAAATTTATAACAGTTTTTTGTCTCCTTGAATTTCCCATGAGGGTCAAGTTAAATAAATGGAGAAAATGAAATTCTGGGAAAAACTGGATTCCTGGTACCAAATGGGCTCAGAATAAAATGCATCAGGAAATAGTAACTCCTAGTTCATATTCCCATAGCCCAAGCCTTGCTCTCCCAACCTTCCTTACCAGGTATACTTTCCATTGCTGAGTGCTTGTCCTCATCACTGGATTCTTCGGTGTCCTCACTGCTGATGTCTGTGCAAAGTAGCAAAACCCATTAAAAGTCTCAGGGTGTGACCAAGTTGTCCACACAGCAGGAAACTCCACAACAAGAGAGCACTAGAGGCTGGGCATAGTGGCTCATGTCTGTTATACCAGCACTTTGGGAAGCCTAGCCAGGAAGATGCCTTGAGGCTAGAAGTGGGTCAGCCTGGGCAAATTAGGGCATCCCTGTCTCTACAAAAATTTAAAAACTTAGGCAAGCATGGCAACTAAGGCCTTAGTCCTAGTTATTCCAGAGGGTGAGGTGGGAGGATGGTCTGAGCCCAGTAGTTTGAGGTTACAGTAAGCTAGGATCAAGGCCCTGAATTCTAGAGCTAGACCTTTCCTTGAAAAACAAACAAACCAACAGCACTAGGAAGACCTGGGAAGATGAGTAACTCAATGTCCAGGTTTAGTTCCTGAATGAACGATCTGTCCATATCCCATGCTTCTGTGTCTGCTTCTAGTAGTGGTATCTCTTATACCCCTCCTTGTCTTAACAGGTTTCTTTCTCCAGCTCCTCTTGAGAATGTCTTGGATCCAGAGTTTTTGCTTTTGCTTTCCTTTAACTTGTTCCTTATGCCTTCTTCTCTTCCTTAAGAAATAACCTCTCGGCTCGGCGCCTATAGCTCAACCGGCTAAGGCGCCAGCCACGTACACCTAAGGTGGCAGGTTCGAATCCCCAGCCCGGACCTGCCAAACAACAATG